CCTGTTTGTAGGAGTAAGCACAGTCTCAGCTCCGGAAGCTTTTTCGAGCAATATAAAAAAAATATCCCTTAGAGAGCTGATTCTTCTAATTTATTTCTGGTCAATGGAGATGAGTCAGCAGAAAACTGCCTGCATGCTGTCAATGAACAACAACCTTGTGTGCAAATGTTTCCGAAGTCTGGAAGATGTATGTTCCCTGGACATAGATAACCCATTTGTACCTTTTGGAGGAGCAGCAGTGATAAAATGCGACGAAAGCAAGTTTAATCACAAAGCAAAGGTAAAGAGAATCATGCACCCAGTTAGCTTCAGCCCAATTAACACTAAGGCTGAAACATTTTTGTTTTCATTAATTGATTGCAAATTTTCAGGTTTTAGGAAAGTAGCGGACCCTTACATTCTTTTTCACTACCCCACAGTTAGGCTAATTTTAGACTCCTGAAATTTTTTGATGGCGAGAGTAATCAGAAAATACTCACTTTCGTGATAATACTTTAAATTGCATCAAAATTTTCGGGAAAATAGTGTCCTATTTACACCAAACTTACCTGCACTCCTTTGAGTAATGGAGGACTGGTGGTCACCTTCATATGCGGAAGCAGGCATTAGTATAGGGAGGGAGGGAAGGGCGGGATTGAAAGTGACCAGAGGGAGCGAAGAACAGGCAAAATAAGACGGGCCACAGAAATCACACGAGCATATGCATACAGAACAACTTCTTGTTCGAAGTGATAATTAATTCAATGTGGTAGACCCCTATATATCGTTATGGATAAGACCGTTGTAAATAGTATCCTATTTACACCAATTTTACTTGCACTCCTTTGAGTATTGGAGGAGTAGCAGTCAGAGAGAGAGCCCCAGAGCCCCGATCTCAAAACACCCACGCTAGACTTTAATTATACCCCAAACTAAAACCAGCAAAACAAAGACAAATAACATGAGTTCTACCCAACTGAAACCTACGCCCCTTACGAGGAAAACATTACGATAGAAGGTGCTTCTGGGGAGACAGCGCGAGACTAGGGAAAGCAATAATAAACTCCTTAAGCGAGTCATATGTACAGTAAAGATCTGCCGCCTCAGTCACAGCTGTAGAATCCTGGGCGAGAAGATCAGCAGGAGCACTCGCCTTGATGACGTTAGCCAGCTTGAGGTAGTACTCAGCTGTAGTGGGGCAGGACCATCCTACATGCCTCAAAAGGTCGGCCAATGCGGAGCCCGAAAAGGCCAGGGTGAGGGCCACCCTGAGTGGAAGCTGTTGAGAGTCTCCCCGGCGTCAATGCGGGCTTCTTTAGGTGTAACTAGAGAGGGGCTTATCAACAACGCGCCCCTTTTGGTCGGTAGGGCGAAATAAATAACCTTGAGTGAGACTAACACCCAATCTTCGTGCAAAGGCGACATATTCTTCTTTGGCTTTAACAGGACCAAGGGTGGAGTTAGGGTGCTGCCACAGACCAAACAGGTTCGAGGCACCATTGCCGAGGGTTTTTCCCCAGATGTGATTAAGGAGAAAACCATTGTCATCGGGAAGCGTGCAATTTCAGCCGTTTCCACCTGGCCAAGAACCCCTGCCCGGTCACCAAAGTAGAATAAAGGCTTGAAAAAGGCCTGGTCACGAGTGGTAACAAACTGTTCTGAGGCGTTAAGGGTAGGCAGAGCAAGCCTCCTCTTGAGGTGGTTAGAGAGCAGCAAAAGCTTATCAGGAAAAAATGGAATGGCCTGCTTGGGAGTGACTTGCGCCTGAAGCTGTTCAGCGGGCCACTTGCTTAAGATAGATCTTGACTAAGTTGTCGGTTGCAGGATTACCAAGGAGGAGGGTGCGATTCCAATCTCCTTGACGACCAGCTTCGACAAAAATGGAGCGCAGTTTACCAATATAGGAATCCACAGTAGAATACGTTAGTCGACGAGGACATGTGCAGGAAAAAGCCCTTTCTTATCAGTGTGGGGACAACCATTGTTGTGAGGCTGAGTCTTTGCCTTAGCATCCTTAAAAACTAAAAAACTGCAAATATTGACGGGCAAAGTGCTAAGGAGGGATTTTGGCCAGAAAGAGCATAAAGGAAACTCTCTAGTTCATCCTTAAGGGAAGGATTTGCTTAGCATATGCAGTGGAAGAATACCGTTGCTGAAGGTCTTGAATTCTCTCATTAATTGCTTGTAAATCAAACGAAACAGCCTTGGGCCTTGGCAGGAGTAGATATCTCCGAGAGTAGCCACAACTTTGGCAAAAGCGAAAGGTGTGGTCATTGGGGTAAGAGCAAAAAAACAAAACAAACACAAAACGAGATTGTCGGAGTAATTTTTATTAGAATCTCAGTACTACAATCGCAGCTTCTTAACACTATAGTAAAAGATAAATGATATATTCTGACTTACTCTCACAACTCAGTGCAAAAAGGTCAAGCCACGATATATTTCCTTTTTTTCTGGGGGGGGGGGATGAACACGACTAGACTGGAATAATCCTGAACACCCACAAATCTCAGGGCAAAGGCCACATTGCAGAGAATCCTACACGAGTGGAGGTCAGAACAACACCTTTAGCGCCTTTAGGTGCCAAAAGATAGACCGCGAAGGGTGCAAGAAGAGACGACCAAAACTTTTGGGGCCAAAAATCCGGAACAACAAGGGTGCAAGAGAACCCGAGACAAGTGATAAATCACAGAACCTCAGGGATAAGAACAATTGGTGGAAAGACATACAGGTTGGTGAAGAGAATAGGGAGGCGATGGGAAAGCTGTGCAAAAAGTTTAACTCCTGCGGAACCAGGAACAAGGAAAGGTGAAAAGAAGGGGATAGGAGTACCCGAAGAGTAGGATTGAACGTTAGAGGGGAGGGCCGTGAGGTCCACAGAATGAGCTGAGGAGCCCCCAAATCTTTCCTGCACCAAGGTCCAAGTTTCCTGAGAGAACTTAGAATCTTGTAAGGACAAGGAGCGACAAGGGACATGAGCTGGATTGGCATCTGACCCGAGAAAATGCAGAGACAGATGGATATTAGCGGCTGAAACAATGCTGAAAATCTACTTAAGAGCCAAAATAAGCGAGTGAGACCTCCTACACTGGGCTTCCCAGTCCTTAATAAGGACCTGGCTGTCTGTGAAGACATCAACCCAGGAGTTTTAGATGCTTTCTGAGAATGAAGGCAGAACATTTGAAAGCGAGAGGACTTCCTTTGCATTGATATCAAGGTGGCGCTGAGAATAAGGCCAATAATCATGAATAGTAATAGGCTGAGCGTCGGGGTTAAAGACACTGCCCCACGCAAAGAATGAGGCATCCACACACAGGATGAACTAGTGATGGAACTCCGTGCGCCAAGGAAGGAAGCCACTCCAGGTCTCCAAGAATGCCCAGTGCTGGATTTCCGACTTGAGAGGACCCGAGATGCGGATTGGTCTAGACGACCGAATCTCTGCACTGATGGCAAGGTTAATTTCGTTAAGAAACAGTCGAGCACCCGGGACAGCCGGGGAAAAGGAAATGCATTTATTTATTTTCTGTTATTTTATTAGCTTTGCCCTGAAGAATACAAAAAAAAAACAAGGAAGATATGCAAACACTAGTAATAAGAACGTAACAATACACTATTAATAACTTAAATATTTGGGCAGGAACACTGCAACAGCTAAAGCTAATTACTGCAGACCCAAAAAATATAGTGATATAAAAGTAGCAATGTAAATCACATGCAGCAGCTAATTTCTTGGTCTAAGAACCTGGCTGTGTTACATTTCAAGCAATTACTTTTGAAGCTCCTTTAGGCACAAAAGATTGAGAGCTTGTTACGGATATACGGGTCCTTTGCGCGCATTTGCAACAGACGGATCTAAGTGAATCATTAATATGATTATATTTACAATTCCCTGAGAGATGCTGTAACGTTTTAATGTCAGTAATGTCAGAGGCGAGAATAGACTGAACTAAAAGGCAAAACTTTTGCTGCTTCTCCTCAAGGAGAAGGAAAGCTTGCTTACAGGAGTCAACCAAAAAACCCAAGTATGGGACTACCTGACAGGGAACAAGAATAGACTTCGCCAGATAAATATAATAACCCAAAATCACAAGAGTGAGACAAACAATGAGACTAGCCGAGGAGGCCAAGGCAAAAGAACGAGCACGATCTGAGGTAAAAAGCGCATATGTAGGAGTCAGTATAGGTAGTTAAAGCTCTCCTGTGTGGCGATTGTCTGTGTACAGAGAACAAGGAATAGCCTGACTGTGAAAATAGTGCACGGCAAGAACAATAGAATAAATGAAGGCAGAGAATTTCCAACTGAACGGGATAGTGTTACGTGGTCATAGCCCGACTTGTCGTCGCAAACTGACTTGAAGGAAGAGGGCGAAACATAACGTGGCTGGAGAGACGAAATGGAATCTAAGTTAAAAGGAGTGTCTTTTACCCAAAGGTTTAGAAAACGGTTATCATTACATAATCTTGGCTTAGTAGGGTCAACAGTGAGCGGCACGACTAAATGAAGCGGCTCAACCTCACCAACCCTTCCCCAAAGGGAGTAGCCCCAGTAGCTAACCTATCGAGTATAGTACACGATATAAGACTAACAAAGGGTTTAACGGAAATTGAATCATAGAAAAGCCGATGAGGAGGGAGGTCAGAATTGTACGACTGTCCCTTTTAATATCCCTTAAAGGGAACAAAAAACTGGTGCACGTCCACTCTATGCTCTATCCACTTGAGGACTTCCTGTGCATGGTCATAAGGGGTGACAGCAGCAATGCATTGCCATGAAGGAAGGTTAGCATGGATATTACCGGCCATAAACGCGTCTGGGTCTCCAAAGGCAAGCATTGAAACATCTGCTGCTTTGGAGCCATTACGGACATCGTTAATGAACGTAGGAGAAATATGCAAGTTATCGGGGGCTGCCATCCCCTGAGCCACGTCTAAAGGCATACCCTTATGATCAACCCAATGATGACGGGGAGAAGAGTAGCAATACGGGTCGAAGTCGTCTGAAAACTCTCAGTCCAGAAAGGAATAACAACTAACACGAAGGCGCTTTAAAAGAGGCTAAAGGAGAAAAACAAAAAAGAAAGAGGGGATATGAGGACGCTAAAGGGTAGACCTGACAGGACTCTGGGAATGGCAGCATGGAGCCCTGGTAATCCGAGAGGGAATAAGACTCCCCTTCCAAAACTGCCATTCCTAGAGCGGAGGGAGCGAAGAAGTAAAACAAAAGAGTGACAAGCATGAGATCTTTATTACTCCAATAACAGAGGCCATCAATTATTGTGCCCACGACCAAAAGGTTTAAAATAAGGGGCATATCGTGCCCGCTGTTGTCTCCTGAAACAATTAGCTGCCGTGTGCCCAAGGATGCCACAAGAAAAACATCTCAACCAGTTAGGGGGAGAAGTGAAGCGCACAGGCTGGGTGGGGGCTTGGGAGGGTGCAGGGGCCACCTTCTTATAGGCTTTGTCGACCTTAGCCAAGCTGTCCAACACCTTCGTGTAATCTTTATCCGAGAAAAGTGCCGAAAAGTATGCTTGAAAGTTCTCAGTTGATGCTTGAAGGCGCAGGCAGGGGCCTTGAAGTGCTGCGTCTAGGAACAAAGCCGTCTCGTGTGACAAGTGGTGGGCCTTTTGAGCAACACTTTCAGCCATAGACAAAGCAGTGTACTTATCAAAGTCCACTGCACTTCGCAACCCATAGGCTGACAGCCTCGCCAGTTGGGAATCAAAATCCCTTTTGGACTGACCCTCCAGAGATTCAATCCGTTTAAGGAGTTGATCCATAGTCTAGCAGATAAAATAAATTGAAGTTACATAAGAAGGAAGAAGAAGGAATACATCAACATATTTTAAAGACTCTCAGCATAACAGTAAAACAAAGCAATAACTTCACTGGAATAAACAGAGAGGATGCCTGAAAGCCTGTACAAGCTGAATGAAAATTATGCAGACGAGGAATAATTTAAGTAATGTTTTTTTTTATTTTTTGAATATATAATAAGCACCTATTGTACTTACAAGGGTGTGATAGAATAAGGGGAATGCGCACGGAAGAAACATGGAAGGAGTCAAATGAAAAATATAAACCAACACAGATTGGAATTGCACTATAAAACTCAACAAAAACAATCACCGATAACAAGGTGACGGAGTTGATATGCACATAATGAAGTGCAAAAATAAGGCAGGGAGAATACTAAATCAGTGTTCAAAGAAACAATGCCACAAAAACAAAATCAAAATCAACACAAAATCTTTTCTAACAGTGTAACCAACAAGAATGGAAAAAAAAGCAAATGCTGCTGTGGAGCCATAAAATACCGACACGATCAGAGAGCAGTAATTCCAGAGACGAGGAGCCCTAGGGAATTGTATATTTAACGCTTTACAGAGCAAGGAAACGAAGAAAACTTACAAGCAACCTTTGTTCTGGTTCCAGAAAATAGGGACAAAAAACAGAAAGTAATAACTGTGTTGACATGAAGCAACTAACTAGACAGGAAAGCGCTGGGCAGAGTCGGGGAGCAATTGGCGCAAAAAACTTTTACTCTGGAGCTATAACATAAACGGGACCGGGCCGTAACAAAAATTCATGCTAATAAACGCTCAACATACTCCGGAAACAAAAAATTGCTACCAAACAACTACTGCCCTGAAGCCACAGAAGACCATAAACAAAAGCAGAGTGTAGCAAATTAAGTGAAAATCAAGCCCCTGCAACTAATAAACGCCCAACGGAATCACGTAACAAAAAATTGCCGTGAAAGAATGCTCTTGAGCCACAAAAAACAGTGCGAGACAAATTTAGTGAAATTAAGCCCCTGATACCAACAAACGCTCGACAGAGTCAGGCAACAAAAAATATTATTGCCATAAATTCAGCTTCTAGTCTGGAGCCACAAAACACAGTGTAAGCAAGACCAGGGCGTGAAATTAAGCCCCTGGTTCTAGTACATGCTCGACAGAGTAAGGTAACAAAATACTGGCCATAAAACAACTGCTACTCTGCAGCCACAAAACACAGCAAACAAGACCAGGGCGTGAAAAATTTAGCGAAATTTAGCCCCTGGATCCAATACATGCTCGATAGAGTCAGGTAACAAGAATTGGCCGTAAAACAACTTCTGCTCTGGAGCCACAAAACACATTGTAAACGACACCAAGGTGTGAAAAATTTAGCCAGATTAAGCCCCTGGTTCGGATACACACTCGACAGAGTCAGGAAACAAAAATTGGCAAAACAACATCTGCTCTGGAGCAACAAAACACATTGTAAACAAGACCAGGGCATGAAAAAATTTAGCGAAATGAAGCCCCTGATTCCAATTACACGCTCAACAGAGTCAGGTAGCAAAAAATTGGCCGTAAAACAACTTCTGCTCTGGAGCCACAAAACGTAGTGTAAACAAAACCAGGGCACAACACAAATTCAATGAAATTAAGCCCTTAGTACCAATAATGCTCGAGAGAGTCAGGGAACAAAAAGTAGCGGCAAAACAACTTCAGCTCTGGAGCCGAAGAATAACTACAATAGTGAAGTGAAACAACTGTACAGGAGCGGGATGAAATGTGGGCATGCGGAAAGGAAAAATATAAAAAGAAGGACAGTTGCCTCTTGTTGGGTGCCAGGAGGAGGTGGAGGGTTATCAGGAGGGATTTCAGGAAGCGCTGAAGTGTCAACCAGCTGCTGACGGACTTAAGGTTGCTCTTCAGGAAGAGGCATTGCTTGCACAACGACTTCTTGTTCGAAGTGATAGTTAACTCAACATGGTCGACCCTTATATATTGTTTTGGGTAAGACCACTGTAAATAGTTACGGAAGCCCAATTTTGAAATAACTCAAGTTCCTCTGTGATAAAAGAACATTTTTACGTCTAAAGGTTCTCTAGCTGGATAGCCCATACGAAAATGTTTTCAATGTTTTTAAGGGGAAATTGTCTTTTGGGTACCCCTGTTTACGTGAAAAGGAAACGGGGTACAAAATGCTATATTTTTATCTTCATATATTCGACTGGCTCTCGCTAAAAACAAGGTTTTAGTTTACTGACCAGGGCCCATTTCTCGACAGTCCCTGTAACTTTTCATGCCCGAAATCAAAGAAGCAAGTCGAAGTATAAACAATAAGAACACCGGTCTTGGCAAGCAAACTACTCCATTTTGTTTCATTACCTGATAGTTTTATCATGTTAGATGCAAACTATTGAAACCTCGGTATTTAATGTAAAATGGAGACAGCTCACCAGGCCCATTCTTTTTTCATATTAGTACAACAAAGGAAGACATGCGCCCGATGTGTGGGTCTTTGGAGTGATCACAACAGATACAGGGCCTACCAGGGGATACTTCCAGGTAGTTCCCAAAAGAGACTTTGCTACTTTATTGCCCATGTTAGAGAGGTGCCTTCTACCAGGCACCATTTTCTACAGCGATGACTGGGCGTGCTTACAGAAACCTTGAACGGCATTTGCCAACCCTCGCCGCCCAGCATCACGTGGTTGTCCACAGTCAGAACTTCGTAGACCCAACAACTGGTGTCCATACACAGGAAGCAGAGTCTGCCTGGAACAATTTAAAAGGACCTGTAAGGAGAGAAGACCGCCAGTCGTATTTAAACAACAGAATGTCGAGGCAATGGAGAGGATTGGATAACATCATGGCCAACTTTTTACCTGTTTTGGCAGCAAGCTGTAGTGATTATATAGTGTAGAAGAACTTTGAAGGGAACTAGTTGGTTGTTTTTCAACGAACAAATGAGAAGTGACTTCTAGTTCTTTCTTTAACTTCCTTAGCCTGCGAGCAAGAAAGCTGCTGCAGTAGAAATATGATTATTAAAAGATAGCGTGGTATCACAAATAACTCCAAGGTCTTTGATATATTGAGCTGGGTTGTCTTTTCCTAGAAGTCTAGTAATTTTGAACACATTTGCTGGCTGCCAAAAACCATCAGTCTCGTCTTATCTGGATTAAGCATTAAGCAATTATCGAAACACCAGTTGTGAATCCATTGTAAATTGGAAATAACACTTTCTATAACATGAACAGAGGAGTTCTCGGTAAAAGACAATAGAAGCTTGGTGTCATCCACGTAGTGCGCCGTTGAACAATTTTGACTAACATTTGGTAGGTCATTTACATAAATACTAAACAGTAATGCTCCAAGAACGCTTGCTTGCGGTACATCACTAACTTTTATCAGATAAAAACATCAGAGATGAAATTGGACGAACTCTCCTTCCTTTTCCCGCCCTGCTGCCAGAACTTTTTTGCTCACAGGCTAAATCTTCCTTTAATCTACAGCTAGGGTAGTTGGTGCCTTCATTTGTTTCATGTCGATACAATGCAAGTCTGTTAAGTTGAGGGAACGCCAAGGGGTTTGCCCTAGTAACCGAGTGCTTTGGACTGGTTTCCTTACTTCTCACTTTTGTGTTGTGTAAGTTTGTTACTACATAGTAGGCTCGCTGCAGTAACATTTCACCTGAAAGGCCATTCTCCCAATGTCAGCTCGCCTGAACTTAAGCCTATCCATCCGGTGTTTATTCATCAGTCGTTTAACCTATAGAATGAATTCATGCCTATTTGTTCTCATTAACATGCTAACAATATTTGTTGTCTCAAAATTTATATAGAGTTTCGATGCATAAGTTTGCGTCGAAACAACTTGTATCTAAATGGTCGCTTTCAATTTCTCCTGATGTCGGTTTGCCCTTTTGAGTTGGTGTAGCTGAAAGAATTAAAAAAAAGGAAGACTGGAATGTACTTTTACTTTGCTACCTTACAAGAAATTTATGCTAGCTATTACTGTGAAAGAATGGTTTTAGGAAAGTGTTTGTTTATTTCTTTACAATTTTACGGGGGAACACCATTGCCTTATGCAGGGTTTAATAGACTCAAAAAATGTAAATTTCTTAAGTATCACCCTAAACTGTTTGGAGTTAAGGATCCAACAATTTGCTCGGCTACTAATGCCAACCACATTTTATAGTAAGGCATTTCTTCTTTATACAGTTGTATAGAGGCAATGATTGTGAAGTCTGTTCAAGCAGATGCTTTTTTACCCTTAGTTACAACAATAATGAATGGTCAATTGATCGCATAATTATCTGGGGTACATCCGAATCGAATACTAATGAAACATCTTTTGTTCTTGTCTATCGGCATTTGCTTAGGTATATGTGAAGTGAAATTTGACGATTGAAACAGATGTTGGTAACTCACATATTTTTTATTTGATTTTTTCGTCAATGGAAGAAGATATTTTCGCCTTGATTAGCCTCATCATAAGGAGGGTATGGGAGTTTGGTTTACTTGCAACTGCAGGTAAAATTGCTGTAAGAAAATGAACAATATAATTACCACTTTTGTATCCATATCTGTATTTTGTCAACAAACCATTTGTAAAGAAGAACAACTCTTTATTGCAATATTACACCAGAAGATAAAAAATCTTCAGTTAAGACAGACAGCCATACATTCAGGAGCATCACCACTGTAGTGTGCATTTTTTCCTGGCATAATTGGAATTGATTGCTTTACAAGATAAGCAGTGAATTAAGTACAAACATTAACTGTTCGCGCAATCAAACGTCTCACACAGGGTTGGAGCAAAGACATGACCAATAAAGATTGACATAAGTCATCAGGAAGCGAGTTATAAATTTGTATTTCACCCCTTTATTAGGAATCCTAGTGAGTAAATGTCCGTCTTCTTGCCCTGTTTACTTTACCGTTCGGCTGTCCTAGCTTGGGTGCCAGGTGTTGAAACTTCTTGGTGTCTGAAGGCATTTGGTATATTTTATAGAGTTGCTTTTTATCAGTTGCTTTCTCAAAGTCCACCAGCACAGCTTCTGCCTCTGCTAAGCTGCGTCCATCTAAGACTTTGTTGTTTGACTTCATGTCATTGTGCAGTATCTTTGCTTTGTCGTGAATATGTTGTATTCCTCTACAGAGACCGCCATAAAGGTGAGTCCAGTTAATGGTAGTATTTTCATTAGGAATATGACCAAGATTAAATCGTTCACCATTGATGTTGTAAAAAGTGGTCACGATTTCAACTCTGTTTTGCCTCCCCACGTTACCAATGAAGCAGGCAGTGTTGGGATGGCTTAGTCTTGCGGGTCTTGCAGTCATTCTCGCTTCCTGTCTGCTTGCGTGGGAGTTTTGCTGTTTTTTCACCACAACTGTGCATGTGCCGAACTTTGCTAGGTAGCAAGTTCCAAAACACCCTCCACCAATTTCCCTCTCCATGATCGTTAGATCCTTCTCCATCACTTGCAAACTTCCCATTTCTGCTTCCTTCCACTGACTGAAGAAAAGCACTGCGTGTCTATGATAGTGGTCAGC